AAGCCGTTGCAGCGCTGCAGGGCAGGCACGGCGGCGGTCGCCGGCATCTCCCCCCCCTCCGCCGCCTCCTCCTCCTCCTCTTCCCCGCCGCCGCCGTCCTCCACCATCTCGGCCGTCTCCCCACCCAGCTTCCCCGGCTGTAGCGGCGGCGAGCGCAGCCCGGCTCTGCTTGGCAAGGTCACTAGCCTCCGGCTCCGCTACACACCACACGCTGCCGCCGCCACCACCGGCGGGGCGGAGCGGGAGGCGGGACCGGGGGCTGTCCGGCCGGGCGGGGCGGGAGTGACATGGCGGGCGTGTTCCAGTCAGGCGAGGCTGAGGGGAGGGTGAGGGTGGGCCTGGGCGGCTCGTCCCTCGCCTCCTTCCCGCTGATCGCGGAGTGGCCACCGCTCCGGGAAAGGCACTGGGCTCCCTTTGCCGTGGCGGGCTTGTCCCAGGGCTGCGGCGGCGAGGGGAAGCCTGCTGAGGTGATGGGAGACGGATGGGCCCGGGCGGAGGCCTGAGCCGCGGTGGAGGGTGGCCCAGGGCGTCGTGTGTCCATCCCCGCCCTTCCACTGCCCCCACAAAGCCTGCCGTGTTTCCAGCCGGTCTCTGAAGCCTGATTTCACACATATCCCCGGGAACTGGCCCTTTATCTCCCGTGGGGAAGCAGTTAGACATCACCGCAGTAGGCAGTGGCCCCTCAGACCCCGCTCCCCATCACCTCTTGTAATTCTGCTGCTGGGGACGCCGTACCCCAATAAAAAGACGGGTTGTTCTCCAACTGAACTGCATTCAGCAGATAAAATCCCCTCCACATTGCTCGCACATGTCTCAGAGCCTAATCAGATCTGTGTCTGTCTGCTAGATGCGCTTAGCCATCCGGCCTTAAGCCCCCTGGCTAATTATCAATTGGTATTTCTCTCAAGGTCAGGTGGTCTATGTAAGCCACAGTTCCTGATCTTATTTACAGCATGAATAGTAATAATAATACGAGCACATGCTTCAGAATATTAATTCGTCTGAGTTGGCTTTTCCTGAGCACTTAGCTGAGCAGCAGCAGTGATTGCAGGCACCATGGATTTTCAGAGGCTACTGGAAGCGAATCCTGAATTTGCAGATCACAGCTATGCGCTAGATAACTTTATTTTTAAAAACACGGTTTCTATGTCAGATTTGGGCTCTTCTTGCCTCTTTTCATTCTTACCAAGAAGCAGCCTGATTTATTTTTACTTTTCCTGTGTAAGATCAGATGCTGGGTAAATTCTTCTGAATTCCTCTGTCTGACTTCCCAGTTCAAGTGCTACATGCTGTACCAACAAAGCTTTTTTTAAAACGGGACTTCAGTAGGAAGAAGTGTAGTGGGAACTGAAACTAACATTATCAAAGCAACAAGATAGCCAGTTTTCACGTTAGGAGTGTACGTTCGTGTTACACGTTGGTAGAAATATGCTGAAAACACACCTGAGACTACATCCAGGCTGGTATGTCCAGCAGTGCTGGTTCGTGGTTACTGGATCATCCTGGACATCCACACTGCTGGACTGCCACAGCAATCCCTGGCACAGGCTGTGGACTGGCCTTGGGGCCAGGAGAAGGACCGTGACGCTTTGGTTGGGTCATGTAGATGTAGCGTTAGCGTCCTAAACAACTTTTGGAAGAGGCTGTAAACATTGATCTACAGCTGATTGCATGTAACATTTTTTTTCCCATTGAATTTTGGATGACCCTAAAGTCCATCCAAAGATGACGCTTATTCCTTAAAGACAGAGGGAAATAGCCTTTGTTCTTCTCTCATTCTTCCTTTTCCTACTCTTACAGCCTTGACTCCAACAGGAGGCAGAGCTGCTGCCACCTAATACCCTCAGGGTAAGATCAGAATTCAGCCTGTTGTAGAATGGCCAGCACACCTTGGGTTTCACTGACACGGTGCTCCCAGAGCATTGTCTCCTCCATCCACCTGATGGTTCAGCACGCACAATGTCATCTGCTTCCTGCACAGGGATCCCACACGGAAGAAATAACTAAACATCAGGGAACTGCAGAGAAAAAGAGACAAAGCCTGGCAGTGGAAGGAGCACCTGGATGAAAACTGCCACCCATAAGGAGAGGAGATGTTTTCCAGAAAGAAGTTTATCAACACAAAGCCAAATCCATCTCTGCCACAGCTGCACTGACCTTGATGAAGTAAAACTAGGCTGATTTTGATGAGGTATGGTCAATACAATTCCATATTTGGGGACATTTATCTCCAGAAGTAACCTCCTAGAAAAGAAAGGAAAAGGCAAACCAAATTGACAGCATCAAGGTAGAACTTTGATGCTTATCTCCTGACTTTTTACACTGCTGTATTTCATAGGCTTCACAACTGTTACTTCTGATTTATGCCCATTTATATGAGAAGCAGGGCCAAGGACGCAGTTGCTCATCAAGAGAAGGTTATCCCATTAGAAACAGCCATTGAGGGGGTTCACCTAAAATGTGTGTACTCGGATTTCTACATTTCATTGACAATTTATCAAGCTAAAAACATAACACTGATGTCAAGGTTTACAGCACAAGTTTAGCTTAAAACTGCTGCTATCCTTTTTTCAATCTATCTACCCTCTCTAACTGAAAATTTAGGCTCTCCTGAATATTCCTATTAGTGGTAGAGCCAGAAATTGCTCATGTATACCCAAACAGTAACAAAGTTGTTTTCCTGAATGCTGTGAAAAGGCTAAAATATGTGTTATGTATCAGACAGTCACTGGGAAGTACCTGATACTAATTTACTTGCAGCAATTATTTTTCTGTGCCTGAATTCTGGAAGTCAGGCAGAGGCCAAGCACTCAAACTTTCAGACTGGAGAAAGTTAAAAAGCAATTAGAAATGCAGTACCTTATTTGTAGCAGTGTTATTGTTCCTCTTGTAGCATATGTTCAGTTGAAAGAACAATGTCTTTTCATAACTATTTCCAAAATTTATCTTGCAGATAATGCCATCTTTGTGCAAAAAAAAATGGGCTCAGAAGGTGCCTTTTTGGTTCAGTCCACGGCATTTCACAAAATAAAGGAAACCAAGCTATAGAGTGCTGCTTTCAGGGTGTAATTAGCTTTTGGACACTCCTAGCTGGATTATTTCAGTGATACCAATTCCTAGTTATGTCTTTCCAAGCCTCAAAATGATAGCTAAGCCATCCCCCAAAAAATCCCCACAAATCAATTCATCTTTGTAAAACCTGAGCCCAAGGTTAGGACTCTGAAATAAACAATATAGAACGTTGCCAAAATATCAACAAATAAAACTAGAATTTTTATGTACAGCAGGCACACATTTAAGACTTTCAGATTTTCTTCTTTTGAAGTTTCTACCATGTATTTCAGTCTCTAAAAGGAAAAAAATGAAACATGATTTTATAATGCATTTAACTCTTGGTTGTGATTTTCAATGCAAAAGTTGATCCCTTAATGCAGAGAAAACCTACATGGCAGGAGCGCAGCAGGTACTTGTCTTCCAGGCAAGTTGTTAAAACAAGAAAACTACAGCAACTTAAGAAAGATTCCAGAACAAAAGATCTGAAGCTCCAACTGAGCTAGAAATGAACTATTTTAGCAGGATATTAAACAAACCTCAATAAGCTGGACTTGAAAACAAAATAGTCAGAGTCACATGTTTAAATTTCTTGATTGAAAGCTATTAGTGATTAGAGGGGAAGATGTAAACATCCTCTTCCTCCTATGCACTCCTCATTCCAGCAACATTTGCCCACTTTTCCCACAAGACAAAGCTATAATCCCAGCCAGAGAATGAGTGTTTGCAACACGAGACGCTTAACTGAAATTTGTTTGTAGCTCCAGGTGTTTGTCCACCTCAATTTTGGAATACGACTTCTCACAGTAGACATGTTTGCCAATGATCTGGATTCAATTTTTGACGTACTGACAGGAATATATAAGTATAATCTATATATACTCTATGTATAAGTATCAGAGAAAAGTTCTGAATTTTAAAATCTGGGTAATGAACTCCTCTACTGTAAACAATATAAATTTGCCTTTCTGGGTGTCTCAATCCATATAAAAGATGCAGAAATGTACATCTGGTATGCTTCTGTCAGGCTGCCATCTGGTTTTCCTCTTTTAGTTAGCCATCAAATTCATATACGTAATGGAATTTTACCCCTGAGTTCCCTATCAAAGCAAGCAGGGGAAAAAAATTATGTACACAAAATAAGTTGTGTGTACAAAAAAATAAGCACGTGAACAAATACAGTTGGTAAAATATATTGGCTTCTTATTCACTGAGATTAACAGACTCTTCATATATTACAAAAAGTAATATATATCCTTATATGTAGTAAGAAAAGTGTATATGCCCACAAAAAAATTTTAAAAAGCATGATGTGGAGAATGGTTGTCTTAAATGAACATTCTCATTTTTGACAAGCATTCCTTCACTCAAACACTGGTTAACTTTGAGGAAAAGCTTCAAGGTGTTTTTTGTTGTTACTTCACAAACTCCTTCCACTGATACTTGCCTTTCACTGCAGCAACATGCTGGCAGACAATCATGATCTCTGGTTCCTTTCTTTCCTAAAAAGATAATCAACGGAGTTCTTCTGTGCGAGAGATGAAGTGACATCACTGTATCCATCAAAGAGCCAGGGGACAGAAGGACTAGAGAAGCCACACAGATGCAGCCAGCTGCGTCTGAGCAGGTTGTTTTGGTTCACCTATAGCCAGAGGGTCAGCAAGGCTGCAGTTCATCCCATCTAAAGAGTACACCAGAGAGATACTGCAGGTTTCCACTAACACAACTCATTTATCAACTCGTAGAAGCTTATAAGAATCCAGTAGTGTGAGAGGAATTGCTCCCTAAGAGTTTTCTCTACCTGCTGTAACGGGATCCCAAGTGACTAACTCAGATACAGCCTTCTGTGGATGCAGAATGTCCACTGAGAGCTCCCACTCCCTGCTCCGTCTACAATAGGACTATATAGCAATGTTGAAGCAATTAGCTGGT